AAGAGGGTCTGCTTCAGCTGAAGGAAGGATGACAGCGTGTCTCTCTTCCCTGTGACTAAGTGGCATTTTTGCCAATTAGAGGTGTATTAAGATGGTTGCATTGCAGGTTGAGTGCAGAGCGTTTTCCGCCAACCACATAAAGCATATTTTTTCTCTCAAACCAACAGCAGAGACAGAACAAGTTGTACAATTTGATCCACACACGTTAGCCAGTATATATACTCCTTGCCATGTGTTATTGTTTATATATCTCCTCATTAAAAGTGGTCTTGAATTAATTTCACTAAAGAGGTGACTTTTTTTTCTGTTGGTTGACTCATCAGTGTAGGCCTTGGGCCTTACTGCCAATTTCCTGCATAAACGTTTAGCTTCTTTGTCCAACTGTAGCAATTGCTGATGAATCTATAATTGCTGTCAGTTTTACTTTTCACATTAAGAAAATGAGACGTTCAAAGAGATTCAGATTTTCTTCTCTCCTCGTCTCTCTTGGTGTCATCCCGAATGCAGCCATCACTAAGCTGTAGGCAATTGTGATCATTATAGAGGGAGGAAACGCTAGCTATCTTTGGCCTTTGCATGACTGTATGTGCAGAATGCTTAATGTGAAATGTATGCGGGCACTCTTTTTCGCTAACAAAAAGCATGGTCAGTATTTTATGTTTTAGCAACAAATATGATTTAGCACTGCAGTGTACTTCAAAGGTACACCCTGTGTGTTTGTCAGAACTAGTTGACACAATGACTGCTTGGAAGAAATGGTGACATACTGCACTGTGTAAACGTCGACGCTTCATTTATTTAATTTCTAGTCAAAACAGCCATTAAGCATTATTAAGTGTATTTTTATATATAAGTGTATGTGTATTTCTGAGGAGATTAGGTCTTAGATAATCTGCTTGCATATGGAAGGGGAAAGTCAAAGGAAAATAAGTGAAAAAACAGAAGTTTCCAGAACTCCAAAAAATGTTTTAAAAAGTGTTGCAAAAATGTGACTCCTAACAACCATGCAAGACCTGTTACCATCAAACCTGTAGTTAAAGTTTTTATGGTGTTCTCAGAACAATAGACTGGCCACTCCAGAGCCCAGACCTCAACAACATTGAATGTGAGATTACTTACATTATGAGAAACCTAAAATACAACCAACTTCTAAGACTGAACTTTAGAAGTGTGATAAAATATCCCTGCAGATTTCTTTTAAAAACTGAAAGCAAGACTCTCAAAAAGAACATCCAAAAAAAACCATCCAGGTTGAATAAATTGTTAAATATTTTTATGTTTTATTGTTATGGCCAAGAAACTTTTAAAATGGCATGGGAGTGTCTCTAAATCTTAAGGAAAAGAATGTAAAGATCTATGAATATACATGACTAGGCAAAACAGAAAATGGCTAGGCTCCTCTTAAACCCGCTATGGTTGCTAAGCTAACGTTAACCTCTAGTACCACAAGGATATAAGTCAAAAGTAACTTAAGATAACAGTTTCACACACAAAACCACAGGTTTATTTGCTCAGATTTGAGTCTTTATTCTCTAAACTTGTGTCAGTGAGGCTTCAGTGAGCCTGAATGAATCTGCCTGGTTGTGTGTACAAGCTTAAGCCTTCCCCCTTAATTATGTGATTATCCTTTCTGGCCATCACAACTCTTTCTTGTCTCTTGGGCACAGCAACCGAGTCATGATACTTTCCACCAACGAAAGGAGAATTATGCACTGCTCACCACCGCAGGTATATAATACACTGTACTGTACCGGTTTTATTGACCTCCAAAATACTCCTTGCTATTCAGAGCACCATCCAATGTACTGAAATGAGATTGTCTGAATACTTATTCCCTTTTTTGTTCATTGTTCAGAAGGTAAGATATTATGGGGTAAAAGCTTTTGACATTTGAAATGGCCATGCTTTTTATGCTCTGAAACTGCCAACCCAATTGCTTTGGAAGGAAAGTTATACTCACTAGGAAATGCATGCTTGTTGTTAACAATGTTAAAAAATAAATAAATGAAAAAATCCAAAAGACTCAAAATTCTTATTCACTACAGTGCCTCCATTGACCAGCAATGCTTAATTACATTTACAGATTTTCTAAATATAACAATCTAAAGCCATTGAAAAAATTCATCTTTGACTCAATAGAAGTGTATTCACCCTTTTTTATTGTGGTTATTACTGTGATAAACTGAAGTAGCATCTCGTTATTGTTATTTAGAGTTTTATTATTCGTCAGCAATAATAAATCTGCATATAATTGGGTGAAGCTCTCATTCTAAGTTGCTGTTGCCTGAGCTGTTCAAATTGTGCATATGGGCCAGGAGGCAAAGTCCTATTTATTCGATACAAGTGTTGAAATGAGGCTGATGCCAGTCAAGCAAAATATAGCCTATTCCATTTACGCTATCATGTCACAGCCATTAGAATGACGCAATGATGTACGACGATGATGTACGACAATGATGTATGCATGGTAATGGGGCCCTGAAATGGCCGCCTGGACCTTACGAGGAAGTGAAGTGCACTACCATTCAAAAGTTTGGAATCACGGTTGAAACAAATGCACAAATGCAATTCCAAAAAAGCTGGGGCAGTAGGAAAAATTAAATAAAACACACAGCAATGAATTGCAAATTCCTTTTTGACCTGTATTCAGTTGAACACAGTACAAGACAAGATTCCAAACTTTTAAACAGCACACAGTCACTGATACTGTTCTTTGAGCGCTCAGCACTGTGATTCAACTAATAGACTTGTAACAACTGCGTGGTAAAAGTATGACACAAACGTCAGAGTTTACAGTATCGTATGTGTTTTGGACAGAATGGACAGTCCCTCACTGCAAGGCCTCCTAAATTTGACTTCTGACCTGGCTGTTGTTAGTTGGTTTTAACAGGATTATTGCATTACACAAAGCGTCTTAGTCTCACTGATGGAAATAAACGGAGATGCCAGCTCAGTCAAATGCTGCTGAAAACCTAACAATGCAGCTCAGCAGACAAGTACATGATATCTGACTTGCTGAATGCTGGAAATTAGAATGCTGGCAGTGATGTTGGAACATTGTTCCTTTGTTGAGGAAGGTCATTAGAGGGCAGTTTTATTTCTTTTTTTAGGTCAATATGTATATGAAGTATCTGGATACTTAAAATTTCTTACTTATTTGTAACATTATTCATTTATTCTCATATTTCTTTAGTTATTTAGTTTGACATCATATTATATACATTTCTGTAGTGTTAATAAGAACAATAATATATATTGTTACATATTTATATAAATAACTTCATACTGCAATGACAAATAAAACTGCAGATAAAACAGATCACACATGTTGTAATACCGTGTACACAATACTGAGATTCTGATGCTCGTTTCATTTACACAGTGACGTGCAGTTAGCAAAACTGTATCATTTTATACACATAAGCAAATATAACCAACATTTCAATTGACTTACTACACCATATAATCACAACAGACAGAAAGAGTACACTCCACATTACCAATTAATTTACGTAACAGAAATAATACATTTTTAACTCTCATTCTCTCTCTTTGCTTTAATTTAAGACCATGAGGCAGAATGAACTTCATTTGAACACAGACATTCCTTGCAAAACATTTCAAGCTATCAGGCCCAATATGTCATTCTTAATGCATACTAAAGCGAGTTCAGAAGTGACCTGCAGAATAGTTGCGATGTGAGCATGTTTGAGCCAAGCTCTCCTTATCTTCTTCAGTGCCATCATCCATTCAGTACAACAGACTGCGTCTTTCATGCCTATGGTGGCAGTGGAAAAGGGACAGAATCAGTCACTGCTCTCATTGGGTTATCATGTTTCTTGCAGTTGAAGCACGCATCTGACCCAAAGAGACCCTTCAGAGGCATAACAAACACAAATGGCATAACTAGAGGATGTTGTGGACCACTCTCGCCAAGGAGTCTTGAAGTATAGCCTCTAGCAAATGCGTTAGGTTAATGGTTGTGCTGGTCTAAAAAGAACAGGAGACCATTTTTCACCATATGTGAAAACGTCATTCTTCTATGGTCTATGGTCAGTAAGACGGATTGAAACTAGGGGAAAAACAGACAAAAGGAAAGATCTAAAGAGATCTTTTGGTTTTCACACGCTCTTCGGTGATATCAGAAAACCCATTTCTTCTCTTAAAATAGCCTTTCCTGTCTCTTGATCCACTCTAGGGGGAAAACTGCATTTTCATATGTGTTTCATATGTTGATATTAGTATAATGCTGAAAAATATATGAAATGCCCTTTAAAGATTTTTCCCAACACCAGTGGTACATTTGAACATCCAGGCCAGATTACATCAGCACATAAAAGTATTTTTTCCACACTGATAAACATTATACAGTTTGTTTGTCTCCAGTTTGATTTCAATACCCTAACAACAAAGGCAGCACTCTCCCTGAGAAAAACTATTTATAGAACACATTCATCTATTCAACCATTCATCAACAAATTCTAATTTTAAAGCTTTAGACCCACACCCAGTACACATTCCTCCCATTAATAAGGTGTAAATCAGCAATATGAATGACACCTTGGCATTTATTAGCATAGTAATATGTAATATTACAAATTCAAAGCACATGCTCTTTGAAGATTATCTGCATTTTAGAAACCACCAAGTAAATAGCCTGCGCAAACCCAAAGGGTGGGGATAATATTCCGGAAAGTGAGAGACTGAATGTCTTCAATAAATGACGAGAAATCCTTCTGGGGTCCATCTGCATTCATTTGCGTCTGTAATGTATCACAACTTAAATCCACATCCTGTTTGCATGAGCATAAAACCAGTGTATAAGAGTCATATCCTCTGTGCTACCTGAATGATTTACTTCTCAGAGTCAATACATGGGGAAAAAAAAAACAGAGAACAAGCTGTCAAAGGTGGGAATGCTGTAATCAGTCTGAAGAGTGATACAGCATTCAGTCAGTCAATAAACATGAAGCTTTTGGTGGACCCAATGTATTTCAAGAGACGCGCTTAGGGTTTGCTACCTTCATACCTTACATAATAGGACAGTTTCTCCAGAAGCCTTCGCCGCAGCATGTATTATCCAACAGTCATATCACGCTTTCTGGAGTCTGATTTAGCTCACCACCTCCCCTGTTGTGCAGTGTGAAATTACTGCTATGCTGCCCTGACTTCTTGGCCTCTTTGCCTTCCATAGCCTCAGTTCTCTGGCCTTGCAGGGTCAACCTTTTCATTCGCAAGGGAGATGGTGAGCACTTCAAAGAGCCAGTTAGAACCGTGTTGTTTTCTGGCTCTGCTAGAGCAGCCGCACCACGGCAGTACCGCTTCAGTCCTTTGCGGAAATGGATGGTGAACAGGCCGTAAGTGATGGGGTCCAGGATAGCATTGAAAAGGCCAAAAATAAAAAGGATATGAGTAAGTGAGTGGGAAACAGTCTCCTCTAAGTCGTCAGGGAGAAACCAGTACCACAGGCCCAACAGATAGTATGGCGTCCAACAAACAATAAACGACGTTACGATGACGATGCTCATTTTTAAAGTTCTCATCCGGGCCTTTGGGATGTTGTTGTTGGAGCGACGCAAATGCACCTCCTTTGAAGATACTGAAAAAAAGGCAGTAATTTTGACATTTAGTTGAGTAATTTTCATAATCATTTTGTACACTTCCCCCTAATTATGATGAATCAAAGCTAGATGAAAACAGATGCCATGATCTCATTTCTCTGTTGCTTACATCAAGTTTTATGTGTTGGTAGGAATGCGGCATTTCAATAACTTAATCTTCAGAGTAAACTGATCATTAAAATAATGGCCTTCATTGTCACTTGGCTAATAATCACCTTTAGCTCCACACTAATTATCACTTTATTCCTTTACTAGTGCTTATAACTTAATTATGACCTACTGTTTCCTTTGGTCATTCGCTGAGAGATCTCCACCAAGATACGTGTGTAGCAGAAGATCATGATGACCAGAGGTAGCAGGAACAGACAGACAAAGGTGAACATATTGTAGAGCGTCTCCTGCCAGTGCTTTACGAAGCTGCCTCGTGTGGTGCACTGTGTAAATTTGGCAGGAACTGTGATGGTCACATTGTGAAATATGAACATCTGTTGGGGAACAAAAAAATTACATAAGCATTACATAAAAATATTAAACTTGTAGTTCATGATATGTTGAAATATCTGGATACAGAGGAGTTTTTTTTCTTAAATGGAATTAAGTAAGTAATATAGTAATATAGTAATAGAGTAATATTTTTTGGGGGATAAATATTGAATAAATATTGCTGAGTGTGTGCTGAGATGCAGCATAAGCCTCTAGGAAACAGGCTTTAGCATTTTGTCCTTGGATAGATTTATTCACAGTGTGAAGTTGATGTAATCAAGCCTGGCTGAGCATACACTCAGTCTAGAATGCAGTGAAACATGAATGTGACAAACAGACCTCGATCAATGTCTCTCACACAGTCATCTACCCTTTATCCAAATGTTCTCATTCTCATTCTTGTCCCTAGCCCCTCTTGGACTGCACCGTCTAATGTCTCTAATGCCTGAAATCAGCTGTGCAGCTAATTATCAAACCATTCCTGAGATAAATCAGCTGTGTTGAAAATGATAAGAGGCAGAAAATTAGACATTTATTCAACTTGAATGTACAGTCTAAGGTCAAACTACATTAATATTGCAATAATTCTGTACCTCAGAAGTGACATTCCACATGATATGCATACCCCTTCAACAAAACTGAACAATGTCTGTAGAGCTAGCACAATATTGATAGAGCTGGACATATACAGGATGTTATGTACAAGAAGATGGCCACGAGATAGTTTAGAACATGAAGAAGTACATTAGGAATTTATGAGAGTGTTGACAATTCGTGAGGCTGATTAAAAATAAAGATGGCTGTGAGTCCGAGACAGTGGCGATAGTAGACAATTCATTAAAACTTCTGGAGCATCCAAGCAAAGTTACGGTAGACTGGAGCATCTGGGTGAGGCTATTTATCACAGCAGGATGGTGAACAGCAAATAACTCTAATTTCTCTAATATGACATCATCACAGTGTAAAATCTACTTATACTGACAATGCTGCAGAGTGACAGTGACTACGAATGAGCTACAGCAAGTTGCTTGAATCAAGTCTATGTAATGGTTAAAACGGGCCTGAACTTGGAACTGACTGGGAAAACCCCATAATTATCATTGGTCTTTAAGCCCAGTAATTGTAATCCACACAGCCAGGCTGGTTACTTAAATGTTCATCACTTTGAGTAATGTGATTGGTGCTATTAGAGCCAAAGGCAGGCTTTTTTTGTAGTCCTGAAAAAATAATAGTCCTGTCCTGATTTGACAAAGCTCAAATGTGTGGTCATATGATTGTCAGAAACAAGCTCAACTGAGTCTTTAAAATCCATAAGACTAACAGAAATCTGTTTCATCAGCCCTGTTAATTGCGCTCATGCAGTCAGTTCAGTGTACTATCAATTTATGAACTGCATTATTATTATTATTATTATTATTATTATCATAGTATAACACATTTGATGTTATCATGGGTTTATTAGAAATCAACCAATTTGTGGTCATCTATCTGTCTATCTAACTATCTATCTATCTATCTATCTATCTATCTATCTACCTACCTACCTATCTACCTACTTATCTATATAAAATAGATATGAAGTTATATCTTTATTTATTATGAGCCTCGCTTAGTGTCCTGAGCCACATGAACAAGGCTAAATCAGATTCATATCACTTTGTCTCATTAATGACTAAGGAGGTCAGAACTGGAAATTGTGGTCAGTGATCTCACACTACAAGGGGAACAGTCATCTCCATGGCTGAACAAATTAACTGAGACAGAAGTCAATGACTGGATTTTCTGCTCTGCCCTACATTTGATAGTATGATACTGAGGTACGACTGACAAAAGTGCTTGTATCTTCCTTTCCGATGAGTCTCCCAGCTCTAAGCTAATGTAATCATTTCCTTCTGATGAAATATCTGTCAGATTACACTTTCAATTTTGTATATAAAAGGTGAAAGATGCAAATATTTGAAGCATATGTAACCATAGTTTAAAATGAGACTTTAAATATATATAGGTGGCAGTAGGCTGATCCTTTCTAGACTGTGCAAGACAGCTTTAGCATCTAATCTTAACATGATCTTCCCAGATCATTCCAGCTTCAGGCCCCCCCCCCATTGAGTGCAGTCAGTGCAGCCCTTCAGGGATGAGCAACAAAAAAAGTGAATTCCTGAGATGAATTTGCAATCCATGCACTCCTTACCTGAGGGACGGAAAGCACAATGCTCATGGCCCAGGCTGCACTCAGCATGATTTTACTTTTCTTCTTGGCCTCGCTGATGGCTAGCGGGTTGAGGATGGCTGAGTGGCGGTCCAGGCTGATGACCACAGTGACAAAGGCGCAGGAGTACATAGCCACCAGCTTGAGGAACATGAGCAGCCGGCAGGCAAGGTCACCGGCCAGCCACTGCACTGTGATGTTCCATGCCGCATCCACAGGCATCACGATGAAGGTGACCAGCAGGTCGGCCACGGTCAGGTTGATGATCAGGATGCGCACATGCGACTTGCGGCGGGTGCTGGTGCTGGCCGCCCACAGCACAGCCAGGTTGCACGCGGCCGACACGGCGCATAGGGTAAAGGTGATGATCACCCTGGCTTTTGCTGCTGCCGAGAAAGTGGGCAGCTGCAGAGCCACCTCCCCTGCGGTCCTGTTGCATTCGGTGTAGTTGCAGCTGGCATTCAGGGTACTCTCTGTCAGCTGACCGAACATGGTAGCAGCGCTAGGAGAGATGTCATTCATCTCTGAAGAACACTGGTGCAGGCTCGCCTCAGTTGCTTGTCTTCCTCTGGCATTAGGCTGACATTAAAATAGTGGACATAAGAACAGCTGGGTGAGGGAGGGCTCTTCCACATGATAGTGCTGTCATTCCAAATCACCTGCAGGGGAAAAAAGTAGAGTAGCAGCATAAATTTATTTTTGACATCATATCAACAGTGCAGTGGTGTAGCCTGCGGATGTAGACAATAAAAGCATGAGAGTGCATAAATGTGCCAGGGACAGGACCCAGAGGTTCCAAGTGCTGTCCATGGCTGGGGGTCACCCATATGCTCAGTGTGGAAGGGAATGATGGGAGGGTTTTTTCTTTCTTGTCATTATGTGGTGGGTGTCAGTTTTCATGTGCAGGATTGCCCTATCTCTGCACCCCAGAGACCGCTGGTTGTGATGCAGAGGAAGACATACTACACCGACACTGTCATTTGAGTATGAATAAACTGAAAGAAAATGCAATTTAAAAGATCATCATATTAAAGTGATGGACTAGACATTAATTGGTAAAGCAGAGAGAGAACAGCACAAGGTGATATTATGTATGAATATAGGAGGCACTGATATAGCAAGAGAAGGGGAGAGCATTAATTCTGGAAGTAAGTAAAACACACACTGTACATTAATACTGAACCAGCAAAAAAATAAATCGAATAACAATAAATTTCAACGTTTAAAATATAAATCTATGTGAGCTCTAGGGGTTACAAAGCAACGGTGATAACGTTAAAAATATTCAGTTAGCAAAACATGCTGAAACAGTCGAGCTTACTGCAATTCGAATGTGCTAACTTAGCATACGGAACGAATCTAAATGCATTTTCTAAACTTTTTTGATTATAAAGTCTAAACAACTAAACGCACCCCTTCGTGTTGTGCTCAACAAATACATAAATTCCAGGTATTAAGGTTGGCACATTTAGTCTTTTGAGACTTACCTCAGAATCTTAAGCCCTCCGTTTGGTGCAAAACAGATGACCTTGAAGGAGTGTCTCAGAAATTAAAAGATACCTCAGAAATCAACTCCCACTCAGCGCCTTCCTTAAAGTCGCGCTCAGCTGGACGGAGTACAAATTCAAACACAGTCCAGCTTACAAACTTGTGGAAACAGGTGTGCAGCCTGTTCTCCAAGCAGAGAAGTGCCGTGCGGTGAGGAAGAGGCTAAACCACTGAGAGGCGTTACAACTTAGACAAAACATGAATGGTACAGTCTGGAGCGCCGGTGTGTATTTATCACCGAAAAGTTCAGCACACACTGCAGCAAAACACAGAGCCAACATGTGCAGATTTCTGAAGACGATAAGCCTCATGCAGCTTGGGTTTCTCCTGAGCGAGTGTGCAGTGAGCAGTGATTCTCGCTCTCCTCTGCGCTCCTCCAGCCCGTGTGTCCTCCTCTCCTCTCCTCACTCCTCCACGCTGATTCCCCCTCAGCACCACTTTATTCGACTCCGCCCTCCAACCGCCATCAAACCGTGAAATGATCGAGTCGCCCGCAGCGCAGGCATATGGTGCATCCCCATTCATCTGCATCGACTATTAAAGAAATAGTGCAGCATGTTTCCTTAAAACACACACAGGCGCACACACATCCCCCCCAAGGTTTCAAAGTTTTACATTCATTTTGGTCATGTCTATTTGAGAAACAAATGCCTCTGAAGTAAGGCGGACTGAAATTTACCTCCCATAGGCTTGAAGGGGAATTCCTACTTTTTTTTTAAAACGGGGGCGTCAGGTGGACCTGACTAACCAGACCCCCCACCCCCCACCCCCCATAAAAGTCTGTCTGCAGAATCTGTGATACATTTGCGTTGGGCTAACGTTATACTTTAAGATTTAGGCTAAAACGACCTTTGGTTTGAACGCATATAGGGATTCACATGGTAAATATTACACAAACTACACCTTATGCGGCCTGGGTAAACTAATGGGTTACGTAGACATACAACTCAATTAACCTACCCTTAATACGGGGGCTTTATGTGTACACTGACATTACATGTGCAGGAATAAAACTTTATGGTTTAACTGGTTGCCAATGGTTGATTCGTATATTGCCAACGATATCGCTTCCTGAATGGTAATACGCGACTTTGTTAACGTGGCGCAAGCGCGCTGTCCTACTGCGCATGCGTTCCACTGGCCTGAAACCGTTGGAGTGAAACTGCAAGTGTAAATCTGCGGCTCTGCAGTCAGACCCTTCTCCTAACCACGGCTCTGCCTGGACGAGGGCCCTCCAAAAGCCTCACAAATAAATAGATTTTTCTTTCTAAATTTAATACCATCTGTTATTAGAGAAATAAATACTAGCTTCTATGATGAGTTCTGCTTATCTGCCTGTTGTTTTCCATGTTTACCTGCTTCCTGCCCCCACTTTGGATTCAGCCATGTGTGCACAATTTCATACTGAACATAAAGTGCAATATTTAGGTGTAAAAGCAAAAATGTCGTAACTCACATAGTGCACTATATAGAGCACAGTGAGCCATCTGAGACTCAGCTTTAGGAGGTCTGATCTTATAGATGTTTAATATTGCCTGTTAATTAAGGCTGTTTTTTCAGCACTTTATCTGCATGTTTCATGTTAAAGAACGTTAAATATTGCGCTTGAAAGAAACTTGTTTCCATTAAATGACTTTAACTCTGAAACATGAAATGACAATTGGAGTTATCTGCTTTTACCAAAAACAGAAAAAAAAAAATAAAAACAAAACAATTTTTCAATGAAGTTTAATTTTGTAAGGTACCAGTATGTTGAGTTATTCTTACCTAATCAAAACAACCCAACATAGGTTTGATTTATATTACCTGCAGTGCACGTAATTATGAAAATTAAAAAAAAATCTGTTTTTGCAAATGAGCTCTTCAAATATCCTTATTTTTTATTTTGTTTTGTTCCCTTTTGAATTTTTCTCTATTTACAACGATGGGCTTGAACAGAGATCAGTGAAAGTTTAATCCTTTCTGAACTACAACAAGATAATTCAACATTGCACAAATGGTATCTTGGTAAGTGAAATTATCTTTAAGCTAGTTAATATATATGTAGTATTTCTTTTGTTGAGATTGTTGTAACCTTTATTTTATGATTATTTAACTCTATTCTAGACATTATCACTTGTATTGGGTCATTTTAATAAGTCACATTATCTCACTATATTGCATGTTGCATATACAAGGCTAATTCCAAAAAATTTGGGATGCTGTGTAAAATGTAACACAGAACACAGATGTTGAAGAACACAGATGGTGAAAGTGAGAAATTTTACCATTTCATGAAAAATATTTACTCATTTAGAACTGGATGGCAGCAATGTTGGGACAGGGCCATGTCTACCATTTTGTAGCATCCCCTCTTCTTTTAACAACAGTCTGTAAATGTCTGGGAAGTGAGGAGACCGACTGCTGGAGTTTTGGGAGAGGAATGTTGTCCCATTCTTGTCTGATGTTGTTCTTGCTGCCCGACTGCCGGATTTTTCGTTTTATTATGCACAGAATGTTTTCAGTTGGTGAAAGGTCTGCACTGCAGGCAGGCCAGTTCAGCACCTGGACTCTTCTTCTGCAAAGCCATACTGTTGTAATGGATGCAGTATGTGGTTTAGCATCATCTTGCTAAAATATGCAAGACCCTCCCTAAAAGGGATGCTGTCTGGATGGGAGCATATGTTGTTCTAAAACCTCTATATACTGTTCAGCATTGATAGTGCTTTTCCAGATGTGTAAGCTGCCCACGCCATAGGCACTAATGCAACTCCATACCATCAGAGATGCAGGCTTTTGAACTGTGCGCTGAGAACAAGCTGGATGGTTCCTCTCTTTGTGAGTCTGCAGGACAAAGCATGCGTGGTTTCCAAAAATAATTTCAAATTTTGACCACAGAACAGTTTTCCATTTTGCCTCAGTCCATTTTAAATGAGTTTTGGCCCAGAGAAGATGGCAGCGTTTCTGGCGTGTTGACATATGGATTCTTCTTTGCATCATACAGTTTTGACTTGCATTTGTGGAATACACAGCAAACTGTGTTCACAGACAATGATTTCTGGAAGTGTTCCTGAGCCCATGCAGTGATTTCCAGTACAGAATCATGCCTGTTTTTAATGTAGTGCCCCCTGAAGGCCCTAAGATCATGAGCGTCCAGTATTGACCAAGAGCATTTTTCTGAAATTGTTCCACAATTGTTAGATTCAGTTTTTCGCAGATTGGTGAACCTATGCCTATCTTTGCTTCTGAGAGACTCCGTCTCTCTAAAATGCTCTTTTTATACCCAGTCATGTGAGTTAGTTGCAAATTGTTTCTCCAGCTGTTTTTAACTCACTTTTCCAGCCTTTTGTTGCCCCTGTCCCAACTTCTTTGAGATGCGTTGCTGCCATCAAGTTCTAAATGAGTTAATATTTTTCATGAAATGGTAAAATGTCTTACTGTCAACATCTGATATGTGTTCTATGTTCTATTATGAATGAAATATGGGTCTATGAGATTTGCAAATAATTGCATTCAGTTTTTATTTACATTTATTTACATTGTACACAGCATTCCAACTTTTTTGGAATTGGAGTTGTATCACTACCATCATCAACATTACATATAAAAACTCAGAAGACAGTAGGTACACTGGTGGTTTTGGATAATAAATAAAGTGGCTATATTTGAATTGTAGGAACTGTTGGTTCCTGTCACCACCGCTGTAAAGAAATCAGAGTCTATAAGCTTCTCCACACTGAATCATTTCAGACTAAACCAATCCGAATGGCTTTGTTTACATCTCAACCTTTGAATTATGCAGAGATTTAGAAAAATGTGTAGAGTTCCCCTGTAGAGCATAAGACATACAGTTTCATGTTCACCATAGTTATTAGATATTACCTATTAGGCTGACAGCTTGTACCTAATTGTAAGCCATACTAGCTTCACTCACCGGTGTTCCTCTGCCTGAGAGAAACAAGAAAAACAATGCAATATACAAATGCAGCACTGCTCACAACATTCAAATGAGTACAGAGCAGAAAAATAGTCACAGTTAGTTATAAGCTAAATTACTACCAGTAATTACTAAATTACTAATGTTTGATGCCATTAAAAGAAAAAAACTGAAAACTGGAAAGAATTTTGTTTTTTTTTGAGAAAAAATGTTTGACTATTCTTTCAAGCTTATACTGTATTAAATATATTGCCATGGTTACAAACAACTGGAAAACCCTTCTCAGTTTTTGTGTTTGAAGTGAAGTGTATGGTTCTAGGCTATATACGAACAAGCTTTGAATAGCCAAAAGGCAAGACATGCTTTGAGTATAAAACAGACAAAGTCTTGTGATTCCTGCTCCCCCCCTTTACGAAGTGTAAGGTTTCTTGATAGTAAGATTAATTATATACTGCCTTGAAACATAATAGCCACATGCTCTGACCAAACACCATGAGCACTAAATGCAAAAGATCTCACTGGAGTAGTGAATTCTTTTTGATTATGCAGTGACCACACTGAAAGTCATTTATATACATTTCATGAGCTTTAAAGGGACAGCAGTTGATTGCAGCTGAACTGCCAGAGAAAAAAGGTTTCTGATGTGAGTGGAATCCTTCTTGTAATGATCCTGCGACCTGTTCCACTCACCTGAACCTGGACGTAAAGTGGCGATGTGCAGAAAAGTCGAACTCAATCGAGACCCTCTGAGGTGTTGCTGACATTTCTGAGCCGCTAGCCTGAGATGGCCCTGTTTCCCTGCAATGGGGAGCTGAGCTGTCTGCTACATTAAGCACCGAAACAAACACTGCCCTGCCCAGTCTACTTTCATTACGTCTACCCATATAGGACCACACACCCACTCGCCGCCACACAGCCAGTCATAAATATCAAGTTGCAGGAGGACGGCAGGTGAAAGATGGTGAGACATATTTTAACTGCACCGCAGGTGTAATACACACAGCGAATTCGATTACAGAGGCATAGAGTCAGAAGGCGACTCACTGGGGAGGGGTTTCAGATCTGCTGTTTTTGGAAGAATCTTGGAGGACTGTCTAGAGATAACAGACAGAGAAAAGATCTTATGCTTTTTTGAAGATCAGAGCTTTAGTAGTTAGGTTTTTGTCTCACCTTTCAGCTTGTCCTCACAGAAAGAGCATGGTTTCCAGAAGCAATAATAAGGTGAAGAACTTAGAAAGAAAGAAAAGTGCAACCTGAAAGTTGTGAAATTAGTGCCACATTTATACAGCTCCATCTCTGAATCAAAAGTCCTTTTTTTAGAGAAACCTTGTAACATTTTGTACTCATCAGTGTCAGAAAGTCTCATCAATCCATTCTGTTTGACTATTATCTTTTTTAATGGATTATAACACCATTTGAAAGATGAATGGACTAAAAGAAAAATCTCATTACATTAAAGTCACCCATATGAGGTACGACAGT